TTCCAAACTATTCTAATCCACCCAATCAACAAAGGCAGAGTCCTGACACGGCTGATACTACTTTATCTCTTCTCTCCCCTTCTCATAATCTAGTTACTGTATCCGCCGCCGCACCGACGGCTTCAAACAATGCAAATACATCGACGGGACCCGCCCCACGAATTCGAAGAAGGAATCGTATGATTACATCATGTCTTGAATGTCGACGACGGAAGCTCAAGTGTAACAAATCACAACCATGCAGTAATTGTCTGAAATTTGCTCGAGATTGTGTGTTTCTTGCACCAGCGCTTGATCAGGCCAGTCAACTTAAGCTTACCGAGATCAAGGAGAAGGTTGGCTCCCTGGAACGATTGCTAGAACGCGATGTAGCAAAGCATTCAAATCATTTCTCTTCTAACCAGCGTATGGCATTGCCTGATGACGCAGATGATAATCTACCTCCAAATGAGGATGAAAAGGTACACTCCATTTCGTGATACGCGCCCCATTTTCATAGTCATTGACTAAATCACAATAGGATCTAGAGCCGTCGCCACTTGCATCAGTAGATGCGGCTTATGAGGTTGACGGAGACGACGATGACCTTCTTGATCTTGGAATTCAAATGGGTAAGATGAGGATCACAGAACGAATTGGAGGATTTTTCCGTCCCAAGATCAGCCAAGAGGTAAGATCCTTTGATGATTATGTCCTTGCCATCCCAAAAACACCCTTTCTTTACCTAAGTGACAGATTGGCTTGCATAGTCGTCAATCATGACCTGTTTTATACTGGATTTTTCTTGTTAATCACAGGAGCACTGGACCATGCCGGCGTTACCGCGAACCTCACAAAGTCGCTGGGTTCATCTGTCAATGTTCTATTCCCCCTTACATATTGTAACACCCCTAGGATTTTTCTACCTTAATACCACCCCAAGCTGTAACTTGGAAGGCATCGCTAAATTAACTGTAGCTTGAGCATGCAATAAAAGATCCATATGTTTGGGGAAAGGAGGATGATTCGATCGGCATCCAAACACTCCCTCCTGTCCAGGAATGGCTGAAGCCTGGGCTAGCTTATATTGCTCCTTCGTCAGGTTTCTTCTTCGGGCAGACAGGACAACCAGCATCCCTCATAGACTTTCTTCCATCTCGACTTGCTGCCGATAGGCTTGTTAAACAATTTTTTATAGCTGTCTACCCCATCGCACAAATTCTGCATCGGCCATCATTCGAGAAAGAATACGACATATTTTGGGACGAAGTCTCGTTGGGCATCGAGCCTCCTAATCCTGTCCAAGCTATGGTATTTGCAGTCATGTTTGCTGGTGTTGTTAGCATGAACCCCTCAGATGTTATCCGTGACTTTGGTGTCGCAAAACCAAGTTTGATTGATAACTTTAGACTGGGCACGGAAACAGCTCTTGGTCGTGCCAATTTTCTACGAACAACCAAAATAGAAACACTTCAAGCTTTTGTTTTATATTTGGTGTGTCTAAGCTTCTCTTTTAGTCATCTTAAGCATGCTAATGAGGTCACATAGATACCTCTTTGTAGAGCGGAGGTCTCCAGAGCCCATTCTGTACTTGTTGGAGCAGCCATTCGTATGGCCGAATGCATGGGTCTCCATCGTGATGGAGAGTTCTACGGTCTATCACCATTAGAGACCCATGTACGTCGGCTTATATGGCATCAGCTATGCTTTCTTGATATCAGAACCTGTGAAGCTCAAGGCCCACGGCCTACTATTCGTCGAGATGATTTTGATACAAAGTTACCACTAAATGTTGACGATATTGATCTCCATGCTACTGGCAAACCACCCCAGACTGCAGATCGTTGGACAGATGCCACTTTCTCAATCATCAGATTCGAAATCAACGAAATGTATAGAATAATCTGGGTCGACCGACCTCGAATTCAGATGCGGAAAATCAGTCTCACGGCCGTTCTCAGCAAGGTAGAGACATTTCGACAAAACATGACCAAGTATGACAAGTTTATGGATGATAGAGTGCCCATCCAAAAGTGCGCAAAGCTTGTCAAGTCTGTCCTGCTTTCTCGAATGCATGTCATGCTACTTCACAGCTATCATAGTTCTACACATTATCGTATGCCCGACCGTTTACGGAACATTATGATCACTTCTGGCCTTCATTCTATGGAAAGTGCAATAGCTCTGGAGACCACACCAGCGCTTCGCAACTGGGAGTGGTACGGAGGGGCATTTCAACAATATCATACAGCTTTTCTTCTTCTGATGGAAGTATATGTTCATCCCCAGAGAAAGGAGGCAAATCAAATCTGGTCGTGCCTCGATTATGTCTTTGAGTGTGACCCTTACCTGCCGCGACTTACCAAAGCAAGGAAGATCCTTTCTGAATTGCAACAGAAGACGGCCGTATATCAAAGTATGAGAGGCATGCGAGCACCAGTGACTATGAACAATCTTGTTGGCCAGCGGCCTCCTAAGCCAACTTCGGAAGAAAGTCGCGCAACGGGTCCCATATCGAATCCTGAACCATATTTACTCGGTAAAATGCCCCTATCTGACTCAGATGCAATACTCTCGAGTGTTTCAAACAATGAACATGTCGGGACTTATCCAACCGGGCGGACAAGTGAAGTAAGCAGTCCAGCTAGCACAATGGGAAAGCAGATAGTATCTCAATCACCAAGTGTTAACGATGATATTATGGCTGACATAGACTGGGTATGTGTTTCCAGCTATCTGATATGTATTGTTACTAATTCCTCTGCAGGATGCATTCGATGCACTATTTCCACCAGATCAACAATCTGAGCTCGACGTTCACAATTTCTCTTTTTCAAACACAGGAATTGGCTTATAATTTTGGTATGATACAGAAACATTTTGATGTTTATCAACACTAAATATGTTTGGTGTTTTTCTTCTCCGTTCTATAAACTGTATATTATATCCATCGTTTAGAACCATTTGAGCAACGTTGTTGTTTATTGAGTTGAGTTCGAAGAATTATTGATAGCTTCTTTTTCCATGCTCCTTCTATTCAGCCACAAAGAGGGGAAATCTGCCCCACATCATTCTACCCGGACGCCCTCGGCCAACCACCCCAGCAATCTGGAGCGAACCAGCGATTTCGCCATATCTACATAGATATCACGCAATTGACCAAAGAAAGCAGATCTACAAATGAGACCGAACCTAAACTTCCGTCATTGTGGGAAAAGATGGAGTGACATACGCAATTATCAAGTATGAGATAAGATAGATCATAATAAGTACATATCATCCCCCTCTTCCGATGTCCCTCTCTTTCTATCCTTCAATATCAAGTCGCATTTTTGATACTCTGGAATATCTTCACTTATTTCATTTACCATTTAACATCTGAGAAATTGTAAAAATGGCTCCTTCACTTCTTGATATCCAGCCTATAGCACCCCATCAACTTTCCTCTCCATCCCAAAAAACCATTGATCGCAAAGTCTTTCCAGATGGTATCAAAACTTCGGGTCAACATCCACCACTTTACGATCAATTGAGACCTTACTCTGATTTTCCAAAAGAAATCGCCGGAGAAACAGTATGGAAAGCAGAAGATTATATCAATAACCCAGAAAGATGGGTTCATGTTTTCAATGAAGAGGAAATCGCAGAACTGAGTGCTGTAGCGGATAAGTTCATTGCGGATCAAATCCCTCTGACGGGTATTTCTCAAGTATGTTGTGTAACACTTGAGTGTCGTCCAAGTACGAATTAAAGGATTCCTTGACTAATCCAAGCAGGATACTTTCCGCCTCTCAAAACTTTCTACTTTATTAGCATCAATTCGAACGGAGACTTTGAACGGAAAGGGTTTTATCCTTTTTAAAGGGTTTCCAGTCGAGAAATGGGGGAATCATAAATCTGCCGTTGCATATATGGGATTAGGAACCTACCTTGGATATTTTGTTAGTCAAAATGGTCGAGGTCATGTTCTTGGACACGTTAAGGATCTTGGCGAGGATTCAACACAGATTGACAAAGTTAGAATTTATAGAACCAACGCCAGGTAAGTCTCTATCTTTTTATTATCCTATGTTAAAAAGCTAACAATATTAGACAATTTTTCCATGCTGATGACTCTGATATTGTCGGCCTTCTGTGCATTGCAAGAGCGCTGGAAGGCGGGGAATCCGACATCGTTTCTTCGCACCACGTCTGGAACACTCTGCAAAAAGAACGCCCCGATGTAGCAGAAACACTTACCAAACCTATCTGGTACTTTGATAGAAAGGGAGAAGTCAGTGTTGGTGAAGAACCATACATCAAGACCTCTGTCTTTTATCTCGAGACCGGCCCCAATGGTCGTGTATACTCAAAATGGGATCCATATTACGTGAAATCTCTCACTCGATTTTCAGACGCAGGAGTCATTCCACCTTTGTCACCTGAACAGATTGAGGCTGCTAAGGTTTTGGAAGAGACTTGTCACCGATTGAGATTGCACATGGTTCTCGAGATTGGCGATATCCAATTCTTGAGTAACGAACACGTACTTCATGCTCGTACTGCATATAAAGATCATGCACCACCAGCACCAAGAAGGCATCTTATGAGACTATGGCTAGCGACACCAGAGAGTGAGGGAGGATGGAAGCTACCGTTCCATGATTCGAACGAGAAGAAGAGAGGCGGCATTCAGGTCAATGATCAGGCCCCTGTTGCACCACTGGATGCAGAATAGATCTTGGGAATTGACAATATTTTATAGACAGCATAGAGTCATCGATGACCAAAATAAATTACTGAACATATCAAGCTGAAGTGTTTAATTTGCTTCAAACATTGCCCTTCGAGTGTGTGCTTTGATTCCAAATAACGAAACTCTGACGCTCCAATCGGTTTGAGCCATCGTATGTTGGGAAATACATGTATGGGGCAAATCTCCGTCTAGAAAGGTAATCAGTGACACTCCAGACCGAAGTATTTTTGACATACTCTCAATTGCATTTTTCTCCCTCCACCCGTACTCGCATCTTCTTGCTTCCTCACATAGTAACACAGAGTTTAATATCATCCTTCCTCTGAACCTTTTTCTTCTTCTCGACCTCCTTCTTCCTCGGCTCTGGGGTCATATCAGGCGGACTAAACCACTATTCCCACGCACAGTGTTAGCTTCTTTCATCTCAATTACCTCAACCTTATAACCCTTTCCCTCGCGTCCCCTACCCACAACCCAAACAAACTCACCGAGCCCCCCATCTTCCTCTCCTCAACCATCTTAACCAAATTTCTGTCATACACCCCCCTGAAGTCATGCGTCGGACACATATATTTTACCACTCTTACAATCATCGGTCCTTCGATTCTTAAGGCACTGGAGGCGAAGACTGGACAGGTGAGGAGACCCATGCCCCAATTACAGGGTTGGGCGATTTGTATCCATTGGCAGGGCTGGTGGGGGACGTTTTTATCTTTGGTTCTGGGGGAAGAGGAGTGGGAGTGGTGGTGAGAGCGGTGGTGAGAACGAGCATGAGAATGACTGTTGGGGTCCTGGTGCTCGTGGCAGGTGGAAGATTGGTGGAAGGTATATTTGCACATTTTGGTAGATGTTAATTAGTGGGTGGTTTGAGTGTGGTTTGAAATCTGTAACGGTGTAACCAATTGCTAGGTACTTTCTTCTACTTGAAGATGTGAATCCGAGAGCGCTTTTGAGAGATGCGAGTTGAAGGAGAAATTAGGCAAGTGTGAGTGAATCGACGGAGTACAAACAAAAAGCTATAAAGTTCTTTCTTCTCACAATGATTCACGTAGGAGAAAACGAAAAGTGAATAATGAGGCTGATACTCATATTAGCATCGAATTTCCTCAGACGAAAGTCATTATGCATATCTCATCATCCATTGAGAAGTAACGCTAGTCCTCCGATGCAATATCCCATTCCAAACTCCGCACATCCCACGTAAATATGTACATATCATACAAGTCCGACCATTTATAGCTTTATAACTGTTCAGGCCCAGGGTTCTCTTCGCCACTTTCCTCCACTTGTTTCTTTCGTATTGCTTGCATGAGCTCGTACAATTGTCCTAATTGTTGATCTGAATTCTCTATTAGCATTTGGTATTATCAACTTGCAGCAAAATGCATACCACTCATCTTGTCAATCTTCTCCTTATCCATACGCTCCCCAATCCAACTTTCTCCCTCAAGTTTCTGCGCGTACATCTGCCACTCCGTCAAAAAGCCAATCTATCCCTCAATTAGCTCTCGTACATCCCAATCCCCCCCATTCCTTATCCAAAGCACACAACTTACGATATGCACCGGATTCTCCACCTCCCTATGTTGTCTAAACTCGCTCTTAATATACTCATCCCCCAATAACCTCATCTCTCTCGGTAAATGTTTCCTATGCGCTCTAAACAACCTTCGATACAAAGGAATGGGTGGCAGTAAAGCCAAAGGTGCAGGTCTCAATCCCTTTCCGGTACCTGCTGCCGAAGGCGACGCCATTAACAAGCGTGGTGATAGCTTCATTTTTAGATATGGTTGTTAATTGTAAAATCTGGGGAATGAGGCATGAGAGCTCGTGAAGTCATCGATCCATGATGGCTTTCGGCAATCTGGTTCCCCGCCAAAAATTAATTTATCAGCCTTGTCACTCATTTGCTTCTCACACAACCAAAATTTCTGTTGCACATCTGAGGGAACTTTAAAATCTGGGGCTTTTAGGGAGAGTTTGATTTTAACTACAGACTTGAAAAGAGGAAGCTTCTGCGATCTCGAAAACAACTGTCCCGGTGATTTTGAAAGAAAAACAAAGGTTTCCCGACAAGGGGCGTTTTGAGCTTTTCGCGGTTTCTCTTATTTCCATCTCAGTTACAGCCTTCTCGCATTCACTTACACGCACTCTGTTGCGCCAACAAGGTAGAAATGCTTCCAACACCCGATACTTCACATGTGTCTTTCGATAGAATATACGAACCTGCCGAAGATTCTTTCCTACTCCTCGACACCTTATCCTCCGCTAACGAAAAAGAATTTCTACGCCAACGGTTTCCTCAAGGCGAACAGTGCTCAATATCGCCCTCTCCATTGGTAGTAGAGATTGGTACTGGATCTGGGATTGTTCTCTCCTTTGTACATGCACATGCAGAAATTATATTTGGCAGAGCGGATATTCTTACAGCGGGCGTCGATGTCAATCGCTATGCATGCGAGGCTACACAGGAAACAGTAAGAGTAGCGGAGAAGGAACAGGCTTCACAAAACATATCACATGGGTCGTATCTAGGGAATGTGGTGGGAAATTTAGGAACTTCTTTGAAGTCTGGAATGACAGATGTATTGATCTTTAATCCGCCATATGTGCCAAGTCCGGATGTGCCTATACCAGAGCTTTCTGGGGCAGGAAACGAGGATGGGTCATTGTCATATGAAGGGGACTCAAAATTACTAGCTTTGTCGTATGCGGGTGGAGTGGATGGTATGGAAATTACGGATCGGCTAATCGATGCTTTGCCGGAGGTTCTGAACCGGGAGAGAGGTTGTGCGTACATCTTGCTCTGCGCGCAGAACAAACCCGAGGATGTCAAACAACGAATACGTGGTTTTGGAGACGAGTGGAAAGCGGAAACTGTTAGTAATAGTGGAAAGGTTGGGGGATGGGAAAAATTGCAAATTGTTAGGATTTGGCGCATGCCACCTAACACCTCCTGAAATTAACGTAACCAGCACTCGTCCATATCGTTTTGATGCGTTCAAAAAAGCCCATGTGTATTTCAAAAGCCCATGGATAAGGCATCCCATTGTTCGTTCGTAAGTGATCGATTTAGCTGCTTTTCATATGCCACTCGAAACGCCAATATTCCCACAAGCTGTGCATGCATGGCACTCTCTTTCTCCCTTGATCATCTCCCGTCTGTATAGCCAAGTAGAGCAAACATTCTTAATATAATCTTCTCCTTCCAAATTCTCGACTTGCCGCCAATAACGTCATAATGATCATCGAATTTCCCACCCGCCCATTGTATGCAATCCTTAGAATCCTCTTCCACCGCCTCGTCCTCGTCCTCCTCTGAATCCACCACCGCCTCCTCGTCCTCCACCTCGTCCACCTCTAGGTCCGCCTCTACCACCTCTACCGCCTCTAGTATCGGTAGTGCCTGCAGCTTCCTTTCTCGCCTTGTTCTTTGGCTTTGGTGCATCGTCTATCAACAATGTGTCGAGCGGTAACGAATCAGGCAGAATGTAATAACGAATTGTGGAACCTCTGAGATTAATGGTATCAAGGGTGAGAGAAGTGCCATTCTTTGGCGTCATCTTGACAGTGCGGAGAGCTGTGTTCATTTGAGGAGATACGGAAGTTATGGTACCGTGGATGATTGTGCCTAGTATGCTTGTTAATAAACAATTAATCGGCAGCGGAAACATCTTGGGAACAGCAGATAATATGCATACCATTTTTAAGCTCAATAGTGACCGTTTCGTTCGCACATTTCATGAGAAACCTACCATGGAAGGAGAAAGTCAGTCAGGAGATTCAGATGGGAGCCTTGAGAAAGAATTTGAGCTCAGCGCGTGCCAATTAAAAGGCTTTATAGTGATATGGATAGGCTTACCTGACGAGCTTCATAATGGCGGTTTTATTGTTGATGTATATTGGTGGTTGATAGTGGATCGTGAGGTCGATTGATGGGCCTATACATAAATAAAGCATTTGAAGCTTTTATCGCGAGGTTCGAAAGGATTTTGAAGCCCGATAATTAAGGCCACAATTTCTCTACGTAAAGCTGGAGCATCTAGATCGGATTTGGAGGGGGGAGTGAACGAAAGGGAAATTTCTACCTAAGTTATTCAAATAGTGGAAAATAATATACATTGCAGTACGCTTTGGGGGTATCCATAGTGTTTTGTATAAATTTCAAACATTGTACTTCAGGTACACCAACATTCAATGATCGTCTAAGTAACCGGGTATTTCCTCAAGCTCCCATCCTTCCATCGGACATTGTGCCATCATTTCCAACAATTCCCCTCTGTGATGTTTATTTATCCTTTTCATTCTCACTAACTTTCTCCCACTCATCCTCAGTACTGGGCTCACTCTTATTTCCTCCTCCCATAGAATGTGCTCTGCTCTTCAACTCCCCCTTCACTTCCAAGACCTCGACCTCCTTGCTTCCTGGCGGACCATCGTCATCAACAACAGTCTCTACATCCGTATCACTAGCTTCTCCTCCAGCTCCCGCTTCTGTCTTCTTTCGTGCTTCCTCTTGCTCTTTCACCGTCTTCAGCTCTGCGGCGAACCAGTTTATAGCCCACCATAACCCGCCACAAAGAAACGATAGAATCACGAAATGGATACTATATGTAGCGATCAAGAGGGATAGGAACACAAGTTGTAGGGCTGCGAACGTGGCATTGGTTGCAACAAGGAGGACGGGAGTTGGACCAGGTGTGAAGATGGATTCCCAAAGGGAAACGAAGAATTCCGATGCCATGACTTGCTCTTTCTATTTCTTATACTGATTTTACTCCTTTGGCAGAGGAGTAGCTTTCGTAGCTCGTAGTAGATAATAAAACGGATAGAGAGATCTTCCAGAGAAGGATATGTGTTGCGGAGATGAAGAGATACTAGATATCAGAGTGATTAGTGGGATGGCATTTACCTATTTATAATACCCCTCACCTTCCTGCTTCAGACGAAATGACGCACACCTTGTACGATTTTGCTGGATATTTCACGACCACGTATCCTAAAGATTCTTGTAGCCTGGAGAAAACTTTCAAAGGGACAGATTTATCGTTTCTAAGAAGTTGAAGTTGTGAAGAAATAAAATAATGCAAGATGTATGTATCGTTCAGAAGTTTGACAACGCGACGCCCCTCTATTCTGCCTGTTCTCGGCTTTTTTGGGGCCACACCTAAGACAAGACAAAGTGAATAATTGAATGCCTTGCGATTGAGGTTAGAAGAACTAAAGTTTCTATGATGAATAATAATCGGAGTATGTATTAATCCATCATCGCAAGCTTCTATGATATATCAGGAAACATTGTCTAAGATATGTATCGTGGTGTATCACTCTTGCATGCAATGCACAGAATTCGCGGGTTGCACAACAGACATAAGTGAAAAAGTCAGAGGCCAAAAAGTCAAGTACTTCGCAGCTACGCGTGGTAGTTCCAGTTGTAAAGATTTCCATTTACCTGCAAACCTCGATATCAGCTGGAGCGATTTTTTCCAAACATTACACAATGCATCTAATGTCAGCATTGTGCACCTTTCAAGCTCTCTCTCTCTTGAAGTCCTGCAGCAGTCAAACATGAGGGATCTTGGACAGTACATCAAAGCAGGAAATCTATATTCGTTCATTCGTTCATTCATCTCATGCTTTACTCGACCAATTTCAATCCAAGTTTAAGTGGACTTGTATACCAGATGCTCAAGGATGATATCCAGGTTCTTATCATGCAAATTCTCAAGTATCTGCTACCGGCAGTGCTACACCTGTTCGACAAACCAGCTGGACGTCTGAGATCTTTCAGATCACAAGAGCTGTTGTGATACTTGGCGCCAAGCATAAAGACTTCAAACAGCTTCTTCCACCCTTTCGACCAGGATAACTTCATTCTTCTCGATCCCACCAGTGGAGGTAGAGCTAACAGATCCTCTGGGCATATATTTGGAGACTCGTACCGTGTCGAGAATACTTTTGCTCCGGAGGAATATTTGATCAACCTCTTCGAGATGACGGCCGTTGGTTTCGGGAAAGAAAAAATATACACCTATCAGCAGAGTCAGCAATGTATGCCTCTATCCTCCATCAATTGAACGGTTACTCACCTGGGAGTATCAAGAAGAGGTTGATACAAGCATATATAATGTAGTATCTCCATCCTATGGTAGCGAATCCCACCGGTGTTATTTCTGCGACAATGAAATTGAAAATCCATGCACTTCCTACAACATTCAGTCAATACAAACGCAGACAGTGGTTGCTGTCGGTTAAATACCTGTTGACATGGCAGTGATAGGAACTCGAACGCTCAGCGGTGCAACCTCCGAAGCATAGAGGAAAGTCAATCCTAGGAATCCGGTAGGGAAGAATAACGAGAACATAAAAATGAATACTGCAGCGACGATGACACATGAGGTGTTAGTAATTTGAGAAGATGTTCCGGCAATAATTGCCATGCAGGATCCCATTCCAAAAGCGGCAAACATCATCAGCTTTCTCCTTCCGAATCGATCAACTGTTAAAACTCCTATCGGGGAACAAAAGGTCTGCCAGGTGAAGACGGAAGCACTCAGAACACGAGACGTTTGTGCTGATAACCCGAGGCCAGTCTCAAAAATGGTAGCTTGATAGAAAGCGAGAGCGTTTATACCACTCATTTGCTGGAACATTTGTCCGCATACAGCAAGACAAGCTCTGTGGAAAAGGCGTTCATCGCCCATGCAAAAAATATCACGAAATGAGCCATTTCCGGTGATCGCAAGACCGTCTTCAATCTCTGCTATATCGGCCTGTACTTGAGCTGAGTGTATGGGCTTATCGTCCAACGCTGACACAACTTCCCGTGCTTCGTCTGTTCGTCCTTTCTTAACCAGCCAACGAGGAGACTCTGGCATATGTGGCGTTGTTATCAATACGACAGTGGACCATACCATTGAGAGTGCTAGCGGAAATCTCCAAGTGACTCCTCCGGACAAATGAGACATTCCAAAGTTTACCCACTGATTGAAGTCAGTTTTTGTTGCTTCTCTGGCCCGTGATGACTGAGGATCAAAACAAATGTCGCGAATAAAAGAAAAGGGTAACCAACAGCAGCCGTTGCTAAACCTGCACTTATAAACAACCCTTCAAGAAGCACCACTGAGCCACGGTGGTGCGCTTTAGAACATTCTGATTGCCAATTTGGAGCGGTTGCTGTCAAAGCACCAAAACCTACGCCGGAAACAAGACGCCCAACTATTAATTGGCCTAGGGAATAAGATGAAGATTGAAGGATAGCGCCAATTATGTTGATTGCTGCTCCAAGCATGATTGTTCGTTTGCGACCTAGAGTATCACCTATTTTGATACAGGACAAGGCACCGAAAAAGCATCCAAGAGTATAGAGAGCAACGACAGTTCCCTTGAAAAAGTCAATGGCAAAGTAAAGGTATGAGAAGTAATCGCCTTAATTTACCTGTAACCGAGAGTTGTTGGTTTTCTGAGTGCCTATGACGGTAAGGGTGTTGAGCTCTGGAAAAGTTTTGATCCAGGCGGGTAGACTAAGTAGTCCACCGGCGACCTAAAGGATTCAGCATTGTTATGACATGTTTCTGTCTAAAGCTTTGATGTTTTGAGTGAAAAGTAGCAGCACTCACAGCATTGTTGTACCCAAATCTACATTTTAGCAATATTAGGTAATGTAATTTAGCTTTCATTATAGATTTGCTCTGTACTCACAGGATATAAGCAGGCATGATGACGGCCCAAATCATTGCTCGATGAAGTGCCTGACCTCGGAGACCAAAGAATTTTGTCATGTTTCCAGGAAATGACAAGTGGTTTGAATTACAGGTGCAATGGGATGCTAGGGTAATGATAGCGTAGGTAAGAAGGATATTTATGTAGGTCGGCAAGTTTCAATTGTCACCTGGCTTTGACGATGATATTTTATCTTTCAAGCGTCGACCCTTCCTAAATGGTCTTCTTATAGTGATAGCATCTTGTTGTCGCTTACTTACAGCCGATGACTTGCTTACCAGGAGAGCTACGTAATGCTCTGATCATCAAATATATATCTAGAAAAAGGATTCACATACAAAGGTGGATCTCAAGACACTACATTGGTGTGTGAATACCTGGTACTTCTTTTGATATTTTCTCTTATCATAGTGTATTTCTGAAAAGCCAAGGGGAATTTTTTCCATATGCAAGCTTAACCCCGCACTTTACACTTTGAGGGATTTTACAATGGGTCTAAAGCACATCAAGTTCTTCTCTCTATCACAGATAATATATTAGAAGCTCATGCGGCCAATAGTATTGATACTGTTGAAGTAGTGGGTGTTGAAGAATATGCATGCAACATGTAAAACGTTAATAAACGACTACAAGGCTTGGAAAGAAAGCTTTCCACGCTTTCTTCCTTACCTATTATGTGGAGTGGGGCACCCATCATTTCGATAACTTCTCCGCACGTCAACGCGGGTCGACTAATCCTAGCTGAGAAAACGTCACTTTGGCCACAAGCTTCAAGGGTTTCCCTATCCACCTTTGAACGATACGGAACTGTTCTTCCGTCTATCTCTAATAACTACTTCAAGAAACAACCTTCATGCATCTTTCCAATCTAGCTTCGACAAAATATCCAACCATAGATATCTAATTCTCCAATCATTAGTTTCTTGGCCATTTCAGTATACACATACTAGTCTATAATATTAGATCTTCTCTTCGAGTGATACCGAGTACCTCATCCTTTTATCTCCGAAGCATCTCCGTCATTCGTTTTAATAAGATCGGATCAAATGGCTACAGCATATTTGGCATCTTGGGCACATGGTCTAAAATATTCCGATTTACCACCCGATGTTATCCGAGCTGCTGTGCGAAGTTTCTACAACTGGGCAGGATGCGCAATTGGTGGGAGTGACCATCCAGCAACTACCATAGCTGTAAGCTTTCATCTCTAGCTTCCATATTTCCACGTATTCAATGTACTGAATCTCCATGAAAGTATACTTCTTTGTCTCCATTCTTTGGTACTCCCTCGGCGTCATTGCTTGGCCACAAAGGATCTCGCCGTATCGATGCACAGCATGCAGCTTTGTTGAACGGAATAGCATCTCACGTGCACGATTACGATGATACGCATCTCGATACAATTATCCATCCCACAGGTCCAGTTGCTAGTGCGCTTCTTGCAGTTGCAGAATGGAAAGGTGGCTTCTCGGGAGAAGAATTCCTACTCGCTTTGATCGTGGGCATTGAAGCGGAATGTAAAGTTGGTCTGGCTGTCTGGCCAGATCATTACGATGCAGGGTGGCACATTACATCCACGACAGGCTCTATCGGGGCTGCAGCAGCTGTTGCGAAGTTACTAAATCTTCCTATTGATCAGACAACGCATGCACTGGGAATCGCTGCAACGCAAGTTGTTGGCTTGAGAGAAATGTTTGGGTCGCACACCAAGGCTTTTCATCCCGGTCGTGCAGCTCAAAATGGTCTCATGGCTGCGGTGTTGGCTCAAGGTGGTTACACTAGTAGTGAACAGGCTTTAGAAGCTAAGAGAGGCTGGGCTAACGTTGTTGGTGTTACAAAGCCAGATATTGGAGAAAGTCTAGCGAACTGGTTGGGGACTAATGATGCCTTTGGTCTGCCCACCACAGAAAGGCCTGGAAGGTGGGAGATTTTAAGAAATAGCTTCAAACCATTTCCATGTGGGATTGTGATTCATCCTATTATTGATGCTTGCTCTCAGCTTAAGCTTGACGTAGAAGGTGCTGAGTTGAGTACTAAGGACATCAAATCTATTGAAGCGAAAGTCCATCCTCTTGTGTTGGAACTCACTGGAAAGAAGAAGCCCCGAGATGGACTGGAAGGCAAATTTAGCGTTTATCACGGAGCTGCCATAGGTCTTTTGTTTGGAAAAGGAACCCCGAGTCAATACGAGGACCACGTAGTTCAAAGCCAGGAAGTTATTTCTATCCGCGATAGAGTCAATGCTGTAGCTGACAGTAGTTTGGGTGCCGACGAAGCAATAATAACGATCATATACGAGAATGGGAGAGAACTTCAAAAACATGTCAAGCATGCAATTGGAAGTGTGGATGTACCAATGGATGATCAAATGCTACAGCAGAAGTTCGTGGACCAGTGCACCGGCATTTTAGGCGAATCCGTGAAGGAAGCGAGCGATGCTTGCTGGGATATCGAGAATGCCAAGGACGTTGCCGATATTGCTAGAAGTATCTAAGTTAGTCTATAAGAATGCAACTGGATGTCGGAAAGTCTCTCGAAAGTTACCTTGCTCGTTTTGAAACGTCACATCACCTTTATTTGCTACTTGTCATTTTTCATGATTTCTGAATTCAGAGGCAAACTCAATCTACTTAAATGACGGAACATTCTTCACTCAACAAAGAATCTCTGGATGTTGGTCGAAATATCATTGGCTTCCCTGGTCAGTTTGTACTGTAAATAAGAGATTTATTTCTACATAACTTATTCTGATTGAATATCATCACAAGCTCGGATACTTACTCATCAGGATTTACATCTTGGACTGGCAGAAATGTTCAAAACAATCTTTTTACTCACCAAATTCTCGTTAGGTGTGCGTTTGCAGCGCATCAGTTGACATGATTTAGCTTCTAGAAATTAGTATTTCTATGCTGCACTGAGTTATGTGTGGTTTTAATATCCTTCCAGACTGAATAATTCTCGACATCTGTAGGATCGTTTTCATAATCCAGAGGCTTGCGGTTGGAATTTACCATCTCAAACTTCAACCTCGACTCCTCACTCAAAACTAGGAGGTAACACCTCCCCCCTAGTCCTCAAAAGATCGCTCACAGGCTGAAATAATTTCCTCTCCCCACTTTCCTCTCCATATCCTTTCATATCTTCCCACCGCACCCATTCCCAGCCCGCGCACTTCTCCGGCTCCAAATTCCTCGGCCCCTCTCCTTTCCCATCCCATCTCCCCACCATCCAAATCGTCACGTAATGTTTCCTTTCCTTCTTCCCCTCTTTCCCATCTCCCTCCATAACACTATTCGTTGCCGTCAAAAAACGTACATCTTCCCTCCTCAAACACAATCCTGTTTCCTCTTCCACTTCTCGTATAGCGCATTCTTCAAGCTCCTCGCCGAATTCAAGATGACCTCCCGGATGAGCCCACATGCCTGCACCGTGTGAACCGAGTCGTTGGCCCATGAGGAAGATGGGGGTGACGGGCGTGGACAGGGGATGGGTGGGGTGCAGGAGGAAGATCCCTACGCCGATGCGGGGATGCGGAGTGGGACTGGGAGTGGACATTTCCGGTTGTGTTTCTGTTTTTGGGGTTGGGGGCTTGGGAAATTTGAGGATTCGGATGTTATAGAGAGGGATGTGCAATGAAGGCCTAGAGGGAAGGATGGTCTTAAGAGGTGGGCAGACAGAGAAGTGGGTGGAGATGATGAGTCATCGCGAATCGAGTTCTTGGAGTGTCACATCCAATGAAGCTCATCATCGTCCCCATTCGATTCGGAAATCAACATTCATTGATTCAATTCATGATGTACAATCTATGATTTATTTCGTCTATTACGTAGATATTTCGCGTGAATACTACGACTTTGCGTTATTACATCTCTACTCTCTATCACAGTACACAGGTGTATCCATCGAATATAATCAAACTCAATGTCTCTCATCTTATTCCACAGGATGGACATAATTATCGTATCTAAAACCTCCAAAACCGATAGAACGACGCGAGATACATCAATCCATCAATAAATCCCTATCCAAAATCTTCCCTTCAGTTCTCATCCCCAAACACCAAAAGTTCCTTAAGATATCTTAAGATGAAACAAGAATATACGGTACACTCCCCCAAAACTTAACGCAATAGCAATCTAGAAGTATCTCGTTCAATCTCCGCATCATCCATAGGCACACATAGAAAAATTTAACGGAATATATACATGAGTGAGAATACACACTCTGCATATCAACATTCTTCCTCCTTCTATGTCTATCTTCTATAACTTTTCACAAGGTATATAGCTCCCTCCCCATCCTCGCAAGTCTTCATATTTTTAATCGTTGCTTATTCTATTATACTTCGAAGTATACATAGATTACCACTGTATCATCTAATCTCATATACGAAATCGTTTACGAAATGGCACGATATCAGTTTAGTTATGGAGATGATGATGATAGTAGTAGTGAAATTGAGGTATTTGATCATGTTTTTCTCTTCCTCCTTCTCCTTCTCTCTCATATATCCCGAGAAATGAATAACTAATCTCCAATCCCTTCATTATAGAGCAAGCCAGCATCATCACCAGAAACTCCTTCTTCAAACACCCAACTCGATAGCCAATCTAGCAATCCACTCCCGTGCACTAGCCCTCCATCTCCCCCCCTTAACCTCCACAATCGTCTTCATTCCCTCTTGGGACTCGCAAACGAGAAACCCACCTCTCCCTCAACCCCTCCACGACCCCCTACAATCTTCAACCCCCATCCCGGAATCACCCCCGAAGAAGCACAAAATCCAAACGACCCTTTCTACCGCCCCTTACCCCCTCCCTCCCCCTTATCTCCCACCCCCCCACAAGCTCCAGCCTCCACCTCCCTCCCTCCAACCCTCCGGACCCCTCTCCCCACAACCCCACCATCTCTTCCTCCCAGCACACCTGCACCTGCACCTGTACCCCCACCCTCCGCCTCCTCCTCCTCCAAACCACCCTCCTCACCGAATCGAACAGCGACCAAACCGCACGACTCCTCGCCCTCCACACCCTCTACCGCGAAAGCAGAGACGAGCGAAAAGCCAACACCGCATCCCTCCAAAAACTAACCCACGCACTAGAAAAAATAACAGATTCGATAACCTGGTATCAAGAACTCATCGACACGCAAGAGCGAGAGATCTCCGAAGCGGAGACGAACAGACAAGAAGTCGAGACGGCGAGAAAGGAAGCCGAGAAGAAAAGCCAGGAAATGGAAGAGAAGATGAGGAATCTGGAGCGGGAAATGGAGCAGTGGCGAATTCTGTGGGAGGAGAGTGAGAGGGGTGCTGGAGGATTGTGAGGGAATTATGAATGCTTGGCGTGCATTTCGGGGACGATAAGGAGGATGAAGAATGTTATCGCTGAGAAAATGGCTAAGAACTTGGAAAATTATATTTACTTATTTATATATGTGTTGTTAATCATAATCATATTCATATTCATATTCATTACGTTGCATTTCCCATACCAACCAGATTATCATCCAAAGACAATTCCCAGCATGAGACTTCATCATTTCATCAAGATACTCCTCCCGCAATCCCAACCCCACAATCCACTAAATCCTCACTTCACAAATGTCCCTCCACTTAATACCATGTACCCCCTCGGAATCCCCAGCGCACCCGCCGTCCAAGCCGCCAAACTCATTTCCGTCACCCACGCCAAGCCAGTCTTGACCCAACTATCTTTTCTTCCCCAAACCATCGCTTCTCCCACCGTCGCAAAGCCATTCAGCACAAAGAACATTCCAATGCGGAAAAGCGCTTTGTCTGTTAACATAGGAGCCAAAGCATAAACATGAAAAGCCGCCATTAGGAAAAAGGCAGCCAAGATCCCCATCGATCGAGCGATTGGGATTGAAACTCCTAGTTTTGGGAAATTCTGACGAATGGGATCGTAGGCGAGAGAGGCACAGGGGGCGGAGAATACATTGTGCCATGTTTTTGACCTGGGATTGTTAGTTTCGTGTTCCTACTTCAAAGTTTCCATATTTGAAAATCAGATGACTTACCAGAAATCTCCTAAACTCTCTACGGCATACAATCTTCCAAAAAGGGCTGGACTACCTTTGTACCTTACTAATAACTGAATGGCTGTCCAGATAATGTAAATACTCAATTGAACTTCAAATGCCAAAACCAATACCCAATCCTGTGGTAACGCTTGCATAGCACAGAAAATGGCAACATGTATTGCGAATTGTAACGGTTCATTGAAAGTTTCCTGAGATCGAGGAACACGAACGAAATTTGGAGTAAAGGATTCATAGCGCATTTCCGTTAAGAGGAGAAGTGCGTATTTCCATGTTGGCGGATCATTTCTGAGTTGAGGAAGTGAACGGTGTCGAGCATATATATCCAGGAGTCTGAGGGTCGCAATTGCAACTAGACGGAATCAGTACATTGTAGTTTTGTTGATTTTTTTCACGCGATTATGTGAAGATGGGAGATACGAACCAGCGAAATTCCTCAACGCAGCTACTGGGCCACAAGAAATCGGATTCATCCAACTACTCAACCAAAATGTAACTAAAGATAACGCCGATAATTTCTTATACTTTCCATATTGCCCCTTGAGCAAGAAATAAATGGAGAAATAGAAAATTTCGGTGGGTATGAGAAAGAAAGCAGTAGCTCTAATGGTCTCGTGACCCCATTTCTCGAATGCTGGAGAAATGGTGGTTGGAATTGGGAAATTGAGAGAGGATGTTGCGTTCATTTTGTTCCTTATTCGAGTAGAATTTGGAGTGTTCTATATAGTCCCTTTACAGGGACAGGTATATATATATCGTAGAAGTAGGTTTGATATGTAGTCGTGTTGAAATAAAGTACTGATGTCTCGTGATCTTCTTTTGCGTGTATGTCAAAGTTAAGTAAGGTAGGTATCCGATGTCTCAGCCAATCTGTAGAGAAACTTTGTTGAACGTGTGACACGATATGATAGATATGGTAGTAGTATATTATAATGATGTTGATGTCTTGATATCTTTGAAGAACTACCAATGAACGAAAAATAATATATAATCCTGAAGTTGCAATGGAGTTTATTTACTCCAATTTCAGCTCACTCGACCCCAAAGAAGTCGGAATGTTCGGATGAAGCTTTCAAGGTTATCGAAGCGGAGATATCTCCGTGCAGCACAACGCAACGGAAGGAAGGAAAGAGAGGATGGGACGGGAAGCCGAATTGAAGGATAGGTATACAATTGATATGATGTGATGTGATGTATGTATACTTATGATTATAAGAAGATATTTAACTTATTATCAAATGATTAGATAATGTTGATTTCTGCACCATTTTTTCCCTTCTCTCTCTCCTCTACGTATGCATGGATACATTACATGGCAATAAGACATCTCATCATCTTCGCGAACCCGAGTATGCACTTGGTAAGCAAACCATTCCTATTCAGCTACCGGCATTAGTCCGATGAAGAATTCGATGATAGTACGATATCCCATATGCATTGATGGAAATGATTGGCTCAGAAGAGATCCCAAAAGAGGTGGAAAAGAAAAGAGGTTGGGATCAAAGATTCAAAGCTACCCAGTCCATAGGCACGTGATGGTTATTTGTTGTTGTATGCCCATGATGCCTTCCGTTTAAGCGTCTTAAATCCGATCCGATAAAGTCATCGCGATCTACATTGCACAGATCCATTGATTACTCATGTTGGGGAGGGGGCAGATAGTTGAGTACTAAGAAGTATATCGACCTAGATACCCATTCAACTATTACACTACCAACTATCAACTACACACATCACTTAAATACTACCCAGCTACTTACTTTGATCATCATCATTTCAAAGTTGAGTTCTTCTCTATTCTCATCATCTCGAATGCGAGTACTACGTTTAATGTTACATAAAACCTCTGATCCTTTTTATCATCCACTGACCCCTCCTTCCTCCCTCTTGCAATTCCAATCCCCTCATATCAAATGAATGAAACCAAAGCTGCGCAATGATAGCATCCGCCATAAAACTCCATCTCATGCATAAAATGCCATTGTTACCTAAATTAAAATGGAACCTTCTTTCCATTTCGCTGCAACGCCGTCCTTTTCCTCATATACACATTGAATCCTGTTCTAGTAAAACACGCGCTTATGAATATTTGGTAAATCAATAAATTACAAAGTAGTTTGTTTAGTTTCGTGTGAATCGTTCCCAAGTGAACAAACTCCTCATCTTCGTCTATGACGATCTCGATGGTCTTTGCCCTTCTTGCCCTTCTTCTTATCCTTTGGCAACTCAATGGGTGCATTTGCTAGTTGAACAGACATGAATTTCAGCATGTATTCATCCGCTGCTTTCACTGGTTGGCCCCAAGCATTGAGTTCATCTTCATCAATCTCCATGAGGTCCTCAACGGTGGGTGTTCCATCGGCACCAGGAGTTGGACCACCTTCTGCGGGAGTTCCCGTGCCACCTGGGGTAGCAGATGCTGTAGCTGCGTTCTCATCGAAATCGGCTGCGTCGGTCTGAACAATTTCTCGTTCGGCGACTCTAGCTGCAGCGACATCCTCGCGATCTTCGGCTTGAGCGAAAACACGTCGAACATCTTTGTCGTTGTCAGGGCCACCCAAAACTCGATCCATGGCTGCATTGGCTGCTGCATCACCATCCATAAGACTAGATTCTTCCTCTCCAATGACATCTCGTACGTTCATCTTGTTGAAGTAATCCGTGGTAAACTCTCCTTCTTGGATAACGACATCGTCAAGCATACGCTTTTGGTTTGCTTTGCGTAAGATGTTGGCTTCGATGGTATGTTCTGAGACCAGACGATAAATGTGAACATCTCGTGTTTGTCCAATACGATGGCAACGATCTTGACATTGCTTGTCCATGGCTGGATTCCAATCCAAATCATAGAAGATAACTGTATCCGCACCCGTTAAATTAATACCTAGACCGCCAGAGCGACTGGATAAAATAAAAGCAAGAATTCGAGTATCATTATTGAAGCGATCCGTAAGAATTTGTCGTTGCTCAATCTTGGTGGCTCCATCAAGTCGTAGGTATTTGTGCCCGTGGATATTGAGAAATTGCTCAAGAATATCAAGCACCTTTGTCATTTGAGTGAAGATTAGTGCTCTGTGCCCGCCGGCTTGCAGTTTGCGCAATAATTTGTCCAGAGTTTGCAATTTACCGCAGTCATATTGCAAAAGACGCTTATCCGGAAATTGAATGGATAGTCTCATGCGTGCCTCATGAAATGGATCTGTTTCTCGAGTGGCGACGGTGCTTTGAAAATTACTTACACCTTTAGGTGTGAACATAACTGAGTTCATGTCTCGCGCCACTACAGGTGGAGTTACACAAGCAAATTTTTGGATGGTTGTATGTAGGGCTTGAGATCGTGAGGTAAATGTCGGAACCATTGAACGCATAATCGGAGAAGACTCCTCCAACCATTCTATCAACTTGGTTCGTCGCTTAGGCTTCGCTTGTAGTGGACGCTGATCAAGACGAAGATCTAGACGTTCAATGAGAGAACTACCATAGATAGGTTTCTGTTGTCGTCGAAGTGCATTGAGATATACGCAATGCTGAAGCTCTTCGAATCGTCCCCACCTGGAAGCACTTTCCAAATACACCAGATTCGATTTGACTGTTGAAGGGTCGAGGTTGGTAAATGCATTCTGGGCTCTTGCACGCTGAGCCTCCCTCATTACTTCTAGGGCACGCCGGGCACTGAGTCTGTTGATTTCGGAGGCTAAGATACCAGGTAAGTATTCATGCTTCGTGGGCACGAGATTCAAGAAATCCAAGCTAACTCTAGACATAGGTTCCTGGCGGAACATTTTTCTACGAACTAAAAGATCCTTAATCTCAAAGTCGGTGATCGCAGACTTTTCCATTGGAAAAGAAGTCATAATGGGTCGATCTAGAAAGAGATCCGGATGATTACAAACCTTTCGCAGTTGCATCAGACAATTGATGATGGAAAGATAATTACCCGACGCAAGGGTATCTCTGGTATCATTTCGACTTAGAAAGCTATCGTAAAGCTCACGTTGTCGTTTGGACAAACGGCAGAACTCAACGTGCTCGTACTTTCCGGGCATTTGTTTTTCGACATCTGCTTTCAATCGTCTAAGAAGGTAAGGTCTAAGAACCTTGTGGAGTTTGCTAATGATTGCCTTCGATTCATCATCCATTTGCTCCCTGCCATGCTCCAATATTTGTTCCGTTGGCTTCTTAAACCAGTCCTGGAATTCTTTCAAATTTGCAAAACCACCAACACCTTGCTCGCTTCCATCCGAGGGCATCAAGAAGTAGAGTAAGGACCATAATTCGGTCAAGTTGTTTTGCAAAGGAGTACCGGTCAGTAATAACCGCGCTCGAGTGTTGAAATTTAACATAGTTTGCCACCTTTGAGATTGAAAATTCTTGATGTTGTGAGCTTCATCAAGGATCATGTAGTGCCATTGTCGTCGCTTGAACACTTGCTGATCCTGAATGACAAGTTGGTATGATGTAATGCATACATTCCAAGCATCATCGTCCTTCCAGCCAGCACGTTTGCGTTTTCTCTCTTCCTGGTTCCCATAGTAAGTTAGAATTTTGAAACCTGGACACCACTTCTTGAATTCCATTTCCCAGTTGAGCATAACACTAGTGGGTACAATGACAAGATGCGGACCCCAGACTTGGTGTTCGCAGGCCAAATGAGCTAATAAGGCTATGGTCTGGATTGTTTTCCCCAATCCCATCTCATCCGCTAGAATACCGTTTGTGTTGTTCGCATAAAGACCGGCAAGCCAATCCAAACCATAGTGTTGGTATTCTCTAAGGGTGCCACGCAGGAGAAAAGGAACCGGAGTCTTCAGTCCGTTTGAGGGTTGAGGAGTTGCGCTCTGTGTGTTGCGGCGACTACTATGGTGAAGATCCACAGATGATGCCGAATCCACCTCTGAAGGCTTAGTTTCGGTTGTTCTTGGAGTGGGTTGGCTGCTTCGATCGGGACTCATCGCTGAGACCTCTTGTGGCTGATGCGCAGATAACAATTCATTTACCTTGCTAGATGAATCATGATGCTCACTTGTGGACAGTTCTTCGATCAGAGGTGACTTTTTGGATGTTCCATTCATTAAAGGCGGTATAGGTTCTCCATTGGGTATGGAGGGAACTTCACTATCCTCGGTATCTAAATCCATTGCATCGTCTGGTAAGACTGGAGTTGAATCTTCGCCCATACCTTCCACCACTTCTGCGACGGGTCCCAACTCAGCTTGCCTCGTTTCAAGATCTTTGATATCGGAAGGCAAAAGAAATCCAAGAAGATCAGCACGGCTCCCTTCATCCGCGTCATTGTCCTCTTCCTCATCACTGTCCTCCTCTTCGTCGCTGGAATCTGTGTCGTCATCCATGTCTATAGAAGGGTCGCTTTCCATGTCTTCATCTTCGCTGCCGTTTCCAGTCATTTCTTTGTCATCGCTGGCTGGCACAATATCTGGTAGGGCAGCGTATTTTTCGCGCAGTTCATCGACAGTAAGTTGCTCATCCTCGTGTTTGGTATTCTCTTCGTCAGCCTCCGATTCCGAAGAGGACATGTTATCTTCATCGTCACTAGGGTCAGAATCTAGATTGTCATTATTATCGGAATCACCATTTGCATCCTCATCTTCATCATCATCCTCTTCAGTGTCTTCTTCCGAATCCTGTTGCGCTCTACGAGCCTGAAGCTTTTGTGTAGAAATGTCCA